CTAAAATCAGTGAGGGGAGGCTGTCACTTCAAGGTAAACAACCGACAGAATCTATTGGTAATGACAAAACGAGAGCTTTCAGAGAAAGCCAAAATTCTGAAACACTTGTATCTGTCACTACGGGCTTGACAGCATCTGAGTAGTTAAAGCTCCATTATATGGTTTGGTTTACATGGGTAACTTCTTCTATTTTTGTTTTCTTTTTTAATTTCCATGGCTAACTTAAGATATCATTTGTCAAATTAGGTATAGTATCAAAACCAATAATTACCATAATTACCTCGAATACTTTCTTTGCCCATACAGACCTGTGTGTGGCCACACTTTACCCGCTTCATCTCAACACCATCCAACATGGAGGTGCATATGAGAAGCAAGCCGCCTTCTACCAAGTCAGGTTGAAAGCAGGTGCAAAAATGTAAACCACCACCACGTTTCTTGTTTTTTGGGGGGTGGGGTTCTCATAAAAAACAAGCTTCTAAGGGAACATAAGTTTATTATCTTAAGAAATTAATACATAAAATTTTCTTGGTTTTCATTTCTAAGATAGTAAATGTGGACAGAAATAATATTTACAAAAAGTCTTTCATATCCTAAATCATTTTTGGGATTGGGGCCCCAAGACCCAAGGTTTGAGAACTACCATCTAACACTTTCACTCTTTCCAATGTGCTAAAACTGTTGAAGGCAATCAAAAGACAAAAATAGACCCCTCCCCTCCAAACAGTTTTCAAGCTAACCCAACACAGACTATTTTAGTACAGCTCTCAGGGCCACAGCGTCAGGTGGCTCGTCAGCCATGAGCAATGAGGAAAGGAAGATGTAGGGTGGTAGTTTAAAGGGAGGACCAATGTCCTATCCATCAGAGTTCACAGGTCTTAGGACTGGAAGTCACAGGAGCCTTATCCAGACAGACACACATCTGGAAAATGGGAACTGGTATGCCAAACCTCTCCTAGTCGCAGTTATTCCTAACTCATCAGGGGACTACTGCTCCAAGACCTGTTCACTCCCACTCCTTGTGAGCAGGTGAACATGACCCTCACAAAGAAAATTTGCTGGGGGGCTAAAAAAAGGGGGGGGGGACAAACTGCATAAGAGGGTATGAGAGAACAGAATAAGAAGAAAGAAGTCCAAAATACTTAGCACCCCCCAAATGTGTGAGGGCCATACCCCCCTAGATTTCTGCTTGTCATCCTGTGTGATTAGCCTTAAATCCTTCCTATGGGATCTCAAGAGCTAGTGAGTGTGGAGTCCTGTGGGATTCCCACAGCCGTGGTTGCTTTGCCTCTGCTGAAACAGCATCACCTGTAGCAGAGAACTTATGCTCACAGCCCTAATTCTGTCACTTTCTAGGTATAGTGTTTTTTTGGGAAATTGGTGTACTTATCTATAAAACAATGATGCCTGCTTTGACACTGGAGTTACCACAACGATCAAAAGGGAAGACGTGAATAATAATGAAAGCCTCCATTTTTTAAGCACGTCCCACATCCCATGGGTCAGGTGTTACGTTCAGTGATTTACTTCCCTGACCACATTGGGAAGGAACAGCACTGTTAGTTCTTTCACAGGTAGGAAGTTGCCTTAGAGATTTGCCTAAGGCTATTGGGCTGGTTGTAGGAGACTGGATTTCAGGTGTGATTAAGACCAAACTCTGATTCCTCTCTCCACCTGCAATTCAGGGACTCTTGGATCCTACATTACAAGGTAGAGAAACGTTTTAAAGGAAGCATTTTAAATAACTTGGGGGAAAGTGGGAGTAGGAAAAGCAAGTGACTTTAAAACCAACTTCATGTGTTAACTCCAGGATGAGTTCACAGGACTCAGTGAAAACTGCAATCCTCTGCCCATCCTCAGAAGTCGGTTAAAAGTTAGAAGCTGGTTAACTAAAAGCAGTCTCAGCCGTATGTAACACAATATCAACGTCTTTGTAGCTCTTGTGAGTTTTCAACAACATTCCACTTGATTGTCATGCCTTTTACAATCACTCAAAGTTCAGAAAAAGGAAAAACAAAACATCTGCATGGCAGGTAAGAAAGCCACGGTGGCTTAGTGTGCTCGTCTTTCTCAGAACCACTCTTGCAAGAACGCCTGGACACAATGCACTTGAAATTCCAACTGCTCAGAATTAACACAGGCGTTGAAAGCCTTTCCCCACCTAGGGTTAGTCAAAAGCAGAAAGCTATTACAAGACCTAACCCAAAAGCTGTCCTTTCCTTTTCTTCCATAAAAACAAGTAATGTTTTAGTATGAACTATTAAAATACCCTTTATAAGCAATATCTTAATTAGAAAATGAGGCTTTTCAGTATTTAGCACTTAGACTAAAAGCAGTCTCAGCCGTATGTAACACAATATCAAGAACAAGAGACACTGGTGTCTTTGAAGATATAATTTTGAAGGTCTAAATAATATCCAAGTATTTTCTTTTACCTTACTCTGTTTTGACTCATTAATTTCTGCTTCCTGCTTCCAGTCTTCACTAGTCTAAGGAAATGGGATGTTCGAGACTCCTCTGAGGAACACTGTACCGTGGGAGTGTTTCTCAGTGTGGACTGTAGGTACTGCAAGCAGACTAGGAAACCCCTCCCTGGTTCCCCCGAGCCCTGAACTTCAAGGTGCCCCACCAATCTGGGCAGATCAGGTTCACAAGGAAGGGAAGTGGCAAGCCACTGCTGCTCTCAGGCTGCAGCACCTCTGGGACTGTCTCAATAACCAACCAGAGCACAAACCCATTCTACCTGCCCCATCACCAGGTCCGCCACTGCCACCTTCAAAGGGAAAATGTTTGCTTTTATTTTATATACTATTGATGTTTTGTGGAACTGGAGGTTGAACCTAGGGATGCTCTACCACTGAGCTACATCCCCTGCCCTTTTTATTTTAAGACAGTCTTGCTAAGTTGCTTAAGCTGGCCTAGAGCTTGTGATCTTCCTGCCTCAGGCTCCCAAGTATGCCTTTATTTTCTTTTTGAAACGAAGTAGGTCTTCCAGCCATTTCTTTAAGGTTTTCCTAGACTCTCATTCTACAGGGAGTGGCTGTGGAAACAGGCCTGCAGCTTAGAGTGTATCTGATCTGAGGGCATAGCTAGATCAGCACTTCTGGCGAGGAAGGCAGGACAACCAGAGAGCATAAGGTGACAGGCAACACCTATAGCGAGGTTCAGACTGTAGCCTCAGAGACAGAATGCTGGGTTCCAATCTGCTAACAGCCTGAATGAGCCAAGTACACAATCTCAGTGTGCCTCTGGGTCCTCATCTGGCCTGCAGGGATAATAAACACTGGCCTGCTGGAACGTGTTAAATGGAGATCATCCACACAAAAGCACCCACCACACGGCCACGGCCAGGTTCATCTTGTTTTTACATGGAGATAAGCAGTGTTATTAGATACACAAACACAGGTATACACACGCACCAAGTTTAGAAGCAATCTACGTGGTAGCTAAGTAGCAGGGACTGGTGCAGGAACCTTGAAGGGAATGACTCTTAACTTAGGCCAAATACATTTGCTCTCCTAGAAACAAAGGGAGCAAGATATCAGGGAAAACAACTTCCTCCCTGAGTCCTTCTCTGTCAAAGTGAACTCTGTCTTGTTTACCGCCTTTCTTCCCACCACACCACTTTTTGTGCAACATGACCAGCAAAAAGGCAGGTAACACCCAGAAGGAAGGACAGGAGTGGGCCCTCTTTTGAATAAAAGAAATTCTGCCAGTCTAAGATTTGCAACAATACCGTGGTCTTGTTAAAGGTGTAAAACATTAGTTCCTGTGCTCAAAATTATCCTTCTCAAGTTTTTGAAAAGAATAAACATTTTTATATTTGGCATTTATTTTCCTTCAGTTTAGCTGATTGTCAGTGTAAGGCTAATTTGACAGTATAAACCACCATTTAGAATGGCAGGAAGTCAGACACATACACATGTATTTAAAAAGACTATTCTGACTGGTCCAATATGCAGGGCAACAGGCTGAAGAAGGGCAGTTGACGTTTTTCAAACGGGGTTGTCTTCATGTGTAAGCTCTTTTGTAGCAGGTGGCTTTATGACACGATTATCACTGAAGGCCACAGAAGCTTAGGTGGTGTATGAGCCACTGACCCAGCGTGAGGACATCTTGAGCTCAGGACCTGGATCCCTAACTGGGCAAAAGTGAACGCTGGGGATTGGGGGCAGGAGTGGGGTGGAATAGCTACTCGTCAGCCGGCTAACAACAGAAATCCATTTCCTCTGGCATCTGTGACCTCCTTGTACTCAGACACAGAAGAGACTTGATTAAATTAATTCATGAGGAAGTGTGATGGCTCTCCAAGAATATTTCACCCAAACAATCAATCAGTCCACATGGAGAGCCCACATGATGAGCACTGGCCTTTCCATGTGTGAATCATGAGCGGGTGGAGGAGGGTTAGAGCACAGCCTGTGACACTACTGCCTGGCACTCCACCCCATCTGTGTCCACCTCCTCCGTCACTGTCCCTCGTATCCCTGATTTGCAGGTATTCTTCCTGTCATCAAAGTCTGAAACTTTCTCTTGTAGGGGAGACAGGGTCAAGGATGTGGGGGAGTTGAGGGAGGTTTGTTATTTGTAAATCAGGAACAAAACACACGAACTCTTCACACAAGTGAGGTACAATACTTGCAATTCGTATCAGATAAAGAAATCTTATCACTCTTTTAACTAGTTAGAAAGCAAAAGTTGCTAAAGATTATCTTCAAAAATCGGTAGCATAGGAAAGAGTTCAAATTAAGTAGTTTCTCTTGGCTTTGACAAAAGGATCTGCTATCATCTGGGCCTCAGTTTCAAATCCTAGCAATGTCACAATGGAATTTAAAAAAAAAAAATGACCTCCATATCTAGGAGAAAGCAGCTTTTAATTTTTATTCTTTTTCACCCCCAGGCCCAAGGGTTGGGGAAAAGAATAGGGAACTGTTCTCTATATATGATCTTATGCTTTGATTAGACTACGATTATTCTTAATCACACAAGAAATGACTTACCAGATTTTTCAGCAGTGTGGACAGTTCCTTTGTAAGAGTAGAAAACTTGACAAAAGCGGTGCCAAGATCGGGGTTGTCTCGACTTAAAAAATTACTCCCAAACTTATCAAGAACTTGTGCATAGTTTTCTTCATTTTGTACATGGTCTAAAAAAGAAAAGGAACCGAGTTATCATTTGCTACAGTGAAGAGTTGTTCTGTACTCCGATCACTGCAAACCCTAGAAAGAGAAGCAGAGCAACAGCATCAGTTACTTATTGCACAGAAGGTGGGTCGCAGGACACTGAATGTTCTCACTCTCCTAAAGGAAGCTTCCCCTTTTTCTTTCACATTATTTAGTTCATTTATATCCTGATCGATCCACTAGCTCTTGTATAGTCAGACAGTCACATAGGTCTCATATTTTTGAGTGATTAAGAAATCATTTCCTTGGAAAGCTGGGAACGGAACCACCATTTGACCCAGCTATTCCCCTTCTCGGACTATACCCAGAAGACCTAAAAAGAGCACGCTACAGGGACATAGCCACATCAATGTTTATAGCAGCACAATTCACAATAGCTAGAATGTGGAACCAACCCAGATGCCCTTCAATAGATGAATGGATTAAAAAATGTGGCATTTATACACAATGGAATATTACTCAGCAAACAATAATAAAATCATGGCATTTGCAGGGAAATGGAAGGCATTAGAACAGATTATGCTAAGTGAAGCTAGCCAATCCCTAAAAAACAAATGCCGAATGTCTTCTCTGATATAAGGGGATGACTCAAAATGGGATAGGGAGGAAGAGCATGAGAAGAAGACTACTACTAAATAGGGAAGAGAGGTGGGAGGGAAAAAGAGGGAGAAGGGGAGTTGCACGGAAGATGGAAGGAGAACCTCATTGTTATACAGAATACATATATGATGTTGGAGGAGAAAAAGAAAAAAAAAGTGTGTCACATTAGATTGGATAGAGAGAAAGGACGGGAGAGGAGGGGAGGAGTAGGGGGATAAGAAGGGCACCAGAATAAAATAGACATTATGATTGATGTATGTACATCCCATGTATGTATTACATGTCAAAATACATAATTCTGCTGTCATGTATGACTGAAAAAATAAAAATAAATCGTATGGTTAAAAAGAAAAATAAATCTAAAAAATGAAAAAAAATTTAGAACAATAAACTGAATTATTTACATATTAAAAAAAGAAATCATGCATAAAATTTTTAGAAAACCAATCTTGGAATGCAAAAGGAAAATGAACTTGTTGTGTCACATTTCTTTCCCTGCAGCTAATCTTAGTTTCCTTTAATCTTGTCACACCCCAGGTAGGAGGAGCAATACTGTATGAGGCTTTGCATGTCCCTTTTCTTAGTGTGGACCGTGCAGGCCTGGAGTAGGTGCACCTGTGCTTGACGTCTGGTTTCGCCACCTATGAGCCTGCTACTTCATTGGTCTGTTTTAACTTCCACGCTTACTACCCTAGCTGGCACACAGTAGGCATAAGTCTTATGAATCCCTGAGCTCTTGCTTTCCAATCTATAAAGTGGGGCTGATGTCTCCCTCAAGGTACTGCAGTGCTGTGGAGTAGACACCAGGTGTATAAATATTTCTCTACTAGGACGAATGCTCCATAACTAACTCCCACCTGCACAACTCTTCCTAGTGTGGCTTCTGGGATGTCACTCATTTGACTGTCTTTGTCGGTTTCTCATCTGTCTAACCTCGCCATGTTAGAAAGCCCCAGTTTTGTCTTTGGGACTTTATTCTTCTCCACCTGTGCCTATTCCCTTCGAGATCTCAGACTGAAGGATTCAAGTACTACCAAATTGATATTCCTGCCCTAAAATACAGACTTGTATATTCAACCATCTCTTTACTATCACCACTTAGAGGTCCAAGAACTGTGTTCAATGTTAACATGTCTAAAACAAACACTTGATCTTCCCCAACCTTCTTTTCCATGCTTCCTTATCTCAGGCAAACAACTGACTTAAGTTCTTTGTTCTTTTTCAATATTTTTTTGAGTTGCCAATGAACCTTTATTTTATTTATTTATATGTGGTGCTGAGAACAGAACCCAGTGCCTCACACATGCTAGGTAAGCGTTCTACCACTGAGCCACAACCCCGGCCCACTGACTTTTTAATGGCATAATGACAAAATCCACCAAGACATCCTCTTTCTCACACCTGAGATGCAGTCCATGGGCAGACCCTGCTGCATCTACCTTTAAAGTCCATCCTAAACTGACAATTTCTTATCCCCATGCCAACAGCCTTACGCTATCTCATCTCTTGGCTTTGGTCTCTCTGTTACTGTTCTCACTGTGTTATCAACACAGCACCCTGTGTGACTCTGTGAAATTGTGCAGATCTTTTAACTCTGGTGGCAGACATTACCATTCATCGTGGATGTACAGGTTCCCAATCCTGGTAGGCTTGCGGAACAGGAGTACTGCGTTTCCCCACACCCCTGAAGTAAAGGCATGGAAGATGGCTTGCACTGCAATCTGAGTGGAACAGGAGTACTGCGTTTCCCCACACCCCTGAAGTAAAGGCATGGAAGATGGCTTGCACTGCAATCTGAGTGGAGGCAACCGAACTGCCTTTACATGAAAGCACTTCAGATGTCCCACGTTCAGTTCCCTCTCTCCTCTTCCCTCCAGTGGTGCAGAGAATCGTGCATTTGCACAGAAAACCTCGGTGGATGCACAGTACTTAATGAATGAACAAATGAGCAGATAGGTGTCTGTCAAAGTCAGAAGTTTAAAGGCTTAATCCAAAACACCACTTCCTCTCTGTAAAGCCCTCCTTTAAGCTGGGAATGCATGTCCCTTACCCACCATTCTCTGTACTTCTACTGCACTGCTTTCCACGGCCTACCACTTTTTTACACATAAAATCTTTCCCTGGCACCAGGCCATAAGAGGCAGTTCACCTCTGCATCCCCACCCAACAGGCACTGTGATCTGGATCTTCCAGTGAGCTGGACTTACAAAGCTAGGGCTTGGTAAGTCCTTCTTGACTTGGATTCACCAAACTCATTTTCACAAAGTTAAGAGCATTCTGTTCTGAATTTCCTAGACTGTTCCACAACTGAGATTAGAATTATTTTAAATTTTTACTTTCAAACACCCTCTGTAACAGCATAGGAGCAATGGGCACTTAGGAAAAAGCACATGAGTCTGGATGGGGAATAACTTGCGAAGGAAGTGTCAGAGTAGGCCAAAGAAATCAAAGGAGGCCCCAGCAGCCTTCTAATCATCAGCACATTAAAAATTCACAATGCCTGCAGCGGATGTCAGCGTTTCTGGCTGAGATATTAAGAAAAAAAGAAAGAAATGCAGTTCTGGTTACTGCCTAAGTTTATACAGAAAAGTGACTCAGAAAAACACTCACGGAAGGGCACAGCAGCTCAACAGACAGTGCACACATGTCTGATCACCCTCACTGCTACAAGCTGTCCCTGAAACCTTCTTTCTGGGCCTGAGAGGCCTCACTTACCATTGAGAAGCTCACCACACACACACTCTTTTTCTGCTTTAGAAGGACAGTGAACAAATATGCGCATCTCAACTATTTCCAAGGGAAGCATCTCAGTGGTGAACACTTGCACACAGGTTGTCTGTTTGCTTAAAATTAGAAAATATTCCAAATGAAGTAAGAAGAAATGTTTAGATTAACACTACATCCATGTACTCACCATGAAGCTTAACAAATAAAATACGACAGAATGGTTCCCCGGTCCCCTACCCTATTCCAATCTCTCTCTATCCCCTAGCCACAGACACTGTCCTGAAGTGGAGTCTCAGACAGAGGTTAGGAGGAACTGCAAGCAGCAGAGTCTACCCGTGATGACGGATTCATCGAAAACCAAGATGGACTCAGCTAAGAAGAGAGGGGGCATGGGAAGGGAGCCAGCACATGCTGAGGATTTCCTCTGACCCATATGCCTCCCATAATCTCCTATTTCACCCGCACCAGGACTCTGTAAGGGAAGAATTATGCTTATTAAATAACTGAAACATAAAATCTGATGTGGGAGAGGCTGAAGGTAAGACCAGATGAGTAAGTGCAGGCTAGATCCTGTATGTTTTGTTAACTGCATAACTGAATAACCAGGTAGTCTATATGTGTGTATCTGTGTCCCCATACAGCAATGTATATGTTACGCGTACATACACATAATTTTCTCATGTACGTACACATTTTAAGATATAGCAGTTATATCTTGGGAATAACAACAATCCTACAAAAATAAAAATTATGAAAATTAAATATCAAGTGCTTAAAATAGTGTCTGGCATGTAGCACAGACCTCCAAAATGTCAGCCATTGTTACCTGTGACTGTTATAACACCAAGGCATATGCAATATCAAATAGCACAGGTGTGCAGGCCTCACGTTTTAATTTTTTTTAACATACGCATTATAAATCTAACAGTGACAATTTACTAAAAAGGTCTTACATGCATGTACACACACATCTTTGAACAAAATTAAGAGTTTATCAAGCAGATCTTCAACGGGTGTGCAGAGTGAGGGGCAAGACGATTCTGGAGGAGGAAACAGCTGGGGGGGCGGGACAGGCTGTGGGGGAATGCAGCTATCTGAGGGGATGCCAGCTCCGGGGCCAGAAAGAGGAGGGAAGTAGCAGGCTCTGGGGACGCACAACAGGGACGAGTGGAACAGGAAATGGATGGATCCTTCAAGAGGTCCAAGACAGCAGCAGAAAGCTCTGTTGAAAGATCTTCACTAGAAAACCTTCAAGAGTGTGGGGCAGCATGGGATGGGTAACCAGGAGAGGGGAGAGACTGGATGGAACAGGGAAAGTGAGAAATCTGGTCCATTCAGTAAGAGGACCCACTCTTTCCCCACATTTGTGAGATTTCTGGCATTCATGACACTTACTGTAAGAAAGACAGAGTAAATTGTTTCACTTCAAAAAAATCCCAAATACAGTTTTACCAAGTAAATCAGAAAGGGTCACTCTGTCAGGATGTCAACTGCCAGCATATCTTTGGGGAGGTGACTAGCGTTTACTGACCACCTGACATGCTCTGTGTTGTAACAGAGCATTACACTCCAGCATGTGACCCCTACGCCCCATACCAGGCAATCAGCAGGGACTCATTAGTCAAGACAGAACAGT